GAACCTCAGACCACTGTCTAGTGAAATCTGTATCCAACTTTTACCCTACTGCTCCAGACTCCTCAGTAAGAGGCGGGTGTGGCGATACAGTTCAGCAGATTGGGACGAGATGCGGCACTTCTTTGCATCTTACCCTTAGCGGCAACTTTGTTTCTCTACCAACGATTCGTCGAGCAGTGAGAGTGCTATATCGGATGTGATACGTCTGGCAATGGAATATTTTATACCTTTTTCTGACGTATCGCCCGATGGCAAGACACCCCTATAGTACAACGCTGAGTGCATTGCTGCAGAAGCCCGTAAGCAATGCGTTTGTAGCATGGGCGGACGCACGAGGTCTCAATGCACCGGACGCAAGAACTAAAAAAGAGAATTCAATATTGCCACCAAGTCCTTCAAGAGGGTCCTGGGATAAGCTCGTTTTAGATGAACTAATCGCATCGGGCGTAAGCTAGCCACTCACCCTAGTGGTAGTAAAGCTTTCTGGTCCCTCGCAAAGTTGACTTTCTATCAGGCTCAAGTGCGCTCAGCTAGGGAGTACTGCTGCCACCTCTGGGAAGGCTCTACCAAGCATCAACTCGATGCATTAGACTCAATAGATCGTCGAGCTCGCCGTATCATAGGTGATCAATCACTAACGCAGACGAAAATGCTTAGTCTACAACATCGACGCAATGTCTATCGATCTTCTATCGGATATACTTTGGGGAGTGCGCGCAGGAACTTCACAAACCCCCTTCACCTTTTTACCACAGAACTGCATCCTTATGTGGTAGAAATCCAACCAACTCGCACGAAACGCTTTAGTTCTATGTTTCTGAAACGAACTGCTAAGGAGTGGAACACCCTTCCAGCATCTGTGTTTCTTGCCACCTATAATTTAAGTACCTTCAAGGCAAGAGTGAATAGGCTTTTTCTAGGCAAGGGCGCTGCAACCTAGACCTCATCAGTGCTTCCCAGCGCTGATTGTAGCCAAGCGCAATTAAAAAAAAAACGATTTAAGGCATTTTAGCGTATGATTACTCGATTAAGTGCTTCACGCGTGCCAGTGTAATCGTTAAATGACAACTAATTTGTGTAGAGGATTTTTTAAAATTTTAATTTATAATTATCCTTATACAAGAAATCTTAGACCTAAAAAACCAAGCTATCAAGTAAATAAAGATTTATTTACTTGATAGCTTGGGATCTACAAAAATTCAACGTTGACCCAATGGATTGATATTATTTTCTTTTTAAAAACGTAAACATTCTGTACTTAAAAACAAATTATATTGTTTTGTTAGAATATAAAAAAATGGCAGATATTGATGACAAACCGACAATAGTCGGCCGGCAAAATGTGTTATTGGACGATTTTTTATATCTTAATCTATTAGCGGACGATTAGTAATAGCCATAAAATAGCTGAAATGAATGAATAAATGAAATAAGAAAGCTGGGAACGAAGAATCGGCGACCAACTTTTATCAATTACAAACAGACTTACTGTGGCACATAGATCGTTGTCAACATTATTTCACTCACGGACTCGTATATGTACTTCTGATATCCATGATATATCGAGCAAACTTGTAAACTTAGCCGACTGCTTCTAAGACAATTAAAGATAAAACTAGAGTAATTACAGATTTACTAGCATCGAAATTATTAGATTGATGAAACAACATGAAAATCTATTAAAATTAAGACCATATTGTGTTCTTGTTTCGATCTGTGCTCTTCAAATATGTTTCATTTGGTACAAAGTTAACTGTGAATGGCGAAGTTCATCGGCATGTCGCGTGCAGACTGCATCGACCGAGTATTCAATGATTCATGGCATATGGCTTTCCCATAATACATATATCCATTATATATCTTATGTCTTTATGTGAAGTAGAAGTGTATGGTGTAGACAGTTCTAATAAATTTCAATGTATTGTAAAAAATGATCTTGAATCTTGATACAATAATAACAGTAACTTTTTAGATGGCTATCAATCATGGCTCATCCAAACGTTGCCAATACCATTGTTGAAGAGATAGAAAGAAAAATGAGTTAAAGAGCAGAGTTTAAAGCTTTGTAAATATGAGCTTTAACTTGCCTATCTTTTATTTTCACAACAAAAATGTATATTGTATGCTACTAGTAGCCTTTCTTTAATTGAACCGTCTGTCTGTCTGTCTGAACTGTAATCTTCATAGAACAGTTTTTAGGCGTCTCAATTGAGCATAATTAATTCATCAATGTCACGAAAAATAGAAAAGTATTGACGGAGATCGAGAGAGCAAAAAATTCAAAATATTAATTATTTATCCATAAAACAATAATGTTGCTTACATTATTGTTTTATATACGAGTATAAATTAAAAGAAGTTAAAATATTAATAATTTAGATTGCTATTGTTTAAAGTAAAAACAATATAAACAAAAAAAATTGTCTATAAAGGTAGCAATAATATTGCTATATTTAATAATAATATTTATTAGAAATTTTAAAATGCTTAGAAATAAAAATCAACAAATATTGTAAGGTACTTCATTGCCATTTTTGAATTTTTGAAATCATTTTTGTAAAATAGTGGGTAGGCATTCTCTGTAACAAGTATGTGTTTGAGACGTCTATGCCCTCAGTCTCTCCCGTGACCATGATTGCTGTAAAGCATTCGAAACGTCGGGAACCAAAAATCAAAATAAATCCGCGAAATAATCCGAAAAGATAATTCTGTTTAAAATGTGAAATATTCGCGCAAATCTAAGAAAGTTTTATCAAGGTAATGGGTTTACAGGATGGTGTGAATGTGGACCTATGCTTGAACTATTCAGCTAAAATAGCTTACATTGGGGATTAAAAATAAAAACCACAGATAATGTAATAAAATTTAATATTATCCCATGGATAAATCATTAAATACAATGCCATTCACCCATGTTATATTCACACTGCGGATTGTAGGTGATGGCACAGAACGCCATAACGGCGACGCAGCAGATGAGCACGGCCTTGTTCATCTGAAATTACACCAAAATATACTAGTCGTATTCTCGATATTATGTTATGGAAAAAAGCACAATAGAGTAAATATTGTATTTTAATATCTTTATTATTTATAATACAAAGTATTTTACCTTCACAATAAGATATGATGTGTGGTCACTTGCGAAATAAAATCCTATTTGTGTCTGTTCTTTTAAACTTAACATTTATATACTGAATTGTTAATTAAATTAAAAGCACTTTTGATCTAAACGTAATGATTCCCATAATGTCAACATTAAATGAAGTGTTTTTTTAATTAGATCATTAGATAAATCCGAGATATGAATTTAAAAGTGTAGTTATAATCACTGTTTCTATATCTTTTAGTGGACGATAACAAATATTCCAAATATCTTATAAGTCTATATTTTTATAATTGGTTTCAAAACATCGACATAATAATGTATGTACGAGTATATTATGTCGGTCGCCACTTGCCAACATTTTTTCTTAATATAATACTAGCATTGCCCGCGGCTCCGCCCACGTTCAGATGACCAAAAACCAAATTCTTAGTTTTTATAGATTAGTAGGTATACTCTTACATTGCAGTGTTTGCATTTTTCTCAGAAATGAGATATTTTCCCGAGGTAAAAAGTATCCTATGCATTGACCTGGATAACCAGCTATCACCATACCATATTTCATCAAAACCCCTTCAGTGGTTTTTCCGTGACGCGGTAACAGACAGACAGATAGGCAGATAAACAGACAAAAATTCTAAAAACTATAGATTCGGCCTCTGTATCAATTATAATGACTATTTCAATAAGATTTTCGAAAAAATAATGTACAGATTCGACTCGGTTAGAATTTTATTATATGTATAGATTAAAGACAATGTCGCGACTCACTGACTGACTTATCAACGTTCAGCCCAAGCCGATGATGTTAGACCAGTAGCACAAAAAAGCCAGCTTTATATATCCATACTAATATTAAATGTGAAAGTAACTCTGGCTGTCTGTCTGTCTGTCCGTCATCTCTTCACGCTTAACCGCTGAACCGATTTACATGAAATTTGGTATGGAAATACTTCGAGACCCTGAGAATGACATAAAATAGTTTTCATCCCTGAAAACATATCATATATAAGGGGGTGAAAAGGGTGGTAAAAGATTGAATGGGGAATCAATCATGTCGCAAGTAAGGAATATGTCTATTCTATACTTACCGTTAAAACGTACCTAGGGACAATTCCGAGCGAAGCGAGGTTGAGTCGCTAGTTAATTATTAAAGATTTGTAAAATAATTGTAACATCTAATATATTTAAACGAGCAATTCATAGTTTTATAATATATATATATATATAATCTGAATCTCGGAAACGGCTCCAACGATTTTCATGAAATTTAGTACACAAGGGGTTTCGGGGGCGATAAATCCATCTTGATTAGTCTTATGTCTGGGAAACGCGTGTTTTCGAGTTTTCATGCAGTTTTCTTTTGCATTATTCCACGCAAAATATGGTCGGTAATTTGCACGCTCGGGCATAAGCATCGTGGTCAAGCGGCCCAGGTGTGAGATCAATAATCAGAGGTGTCCAGGTTCGAATCTCGGTTGCATACAAAGTTTTTACTTTTGTTTTTTTTTAATTTATTCAAGTTTTTTGTTTTTTTAAAGAAAAAGAAAATTGTACGTCAGGCCAAAAACTCCGAGCGAAGCTCGGTAGCCCAGGTACTTTACAATGATAACAGCAAAAATAAAATAAATAATATTGCCATATTTAATTATAAATGTTTAGAATTAAAATCAACAAATATTTGTTGTAAGGTACTTTGGTGTCATTTTTGAATTTTTGAAATCATTTTGTAAAATTGTGGGTAGGCACTGTCTGTAACAAGTATATAGTGGTAGGGAAGCCGAAGCGGGGATTTTGTGCGTTACTCCAGGGCTTCAGAAAATCATATTGAGAGAAACCTTGCACCCCTAATACCCTACCATATATGAACTCTTAATATAGGTGACATAAGGAAATGGGCGAGTCACAATGTTCTAAAATCTCTACAGGTGTGCCACGGAAAGTAGGATTCAGGCTGAACGGTCATTTGTCATATAAGGTAATAAATTAATGTGCAGGTATATTATGATTTTTTTTAAATTGTCAGATTAACAATATCCTTCCATATAATTGTCAGATTATCATTTAGGACGACTAGGACATCAACTTGAACCGTCTGTATAAAAATCTGGCGCGCTCGAGTCATTTTTTTCAAGATCATATTTTTTTAACATTTTCAAAAATCGGTCATGACTTTTGGTCACGTTCAAATTGTCAGTCATTTGAATAGGATACTTTTTTGAGTTCACTTAACATTCCCTCCGAATATCTGACACGCTCGAATAACTTCTTTTCTTCTCTACCCCTTTTTACGCCCACTAGTTATTTGTCAGATTAATTAATGTCTCTCGGTTATCAGAAACACAAAGCGCGTACATACACTATGAATGTCTGACGCGCTCGAGTATATCCTTGTGACTGTTTTTTTTACATTTTTGCAAATTTCTACACGCTCTTCCCTACCTAGAGGTAGGAAATGGAAATGGAAAACTTAATATAATTTTTTTTTTCGTTTTAGAACCTAATCTTTAAAATCCAGGCTCCCCTACTATAACGCCTTTGAGACGCCTAACACGTTAGCCTAAGCCGTGACCATAATTGCTGTAAAGAATTCAAAACGTCGTAAACGATAAAAATATCTAGACTATCTATACTAATATTATAAATATGACAGTTTGTGAGTATGGATGTATGGATGTATGTTTGTTACTCTTTCATGCCAGGAAGGCTGAACGAGTCTGGATGAAATTTAGCACAGAGATAGATTATAGTCTGGAATAACACATAGGCTACTTTTTATCCAGGAAAAGTGTACAGTTACCGTGGAAAAGCTTTGTTTTTGTCTTCCTAGAGGCAAACCCGAGCGAAGTGAGGTTGAGCTGCTAGTAGACTTATAAGTCATTTGGAATATTTTTTATCGTCCACTAAGCATATAGATACGGTGAGTATAACTTCATTTTTAAATTCATGTCTCGGATTTATCTAATGATTTAATTAAAAAACACTTCAATTAATGTTTACATAATGGGAACAGGAATCATTATGCTTAGATCAAAAGTGCTATTAAGTTAATTAACAATTCAATACATAAATGTTAAGTTGAAAAGAACAGAGACAAATAGAATTTTATTTCGCAAGTGACCACACATCATATCATATAAAGGTAAAATACATTGTATTATAAATAAAAAATATATTAAAATACAATATTTGCTCTATTGTACTTTTTTCCATAACATAATATCGCGAATACGACTACATAGTATATTTTGGTGTAATTTCAGATGAACAAGGCCGTGCTCATCTGCTGCGTCGCCGTTATGGCGTTCTGTGCCATCATCGATGAAAATGGTTATGCGTGTGCATATTATGTTGATAATCAATTACGTCCATGTCCATAATATTAAATTTTATTGCATTCTCTGTGGTTTTTATTTTTAATCCCCAATGTAAGCTATTTTAGCTGAATAGTTCAAGCATAGGTCCACATTCACACCATCCTGTAAACCCATTAACCTGTTAAAATTTTCTTAGATTTGCGCTAATATTTCACATTTTAAACAGAACTATCTTTTTGGATTATTTAGCGCATGTATTTTGATTTTTGGTTACCGACGTTTCGAATGCTTTTTTCGCGTAAAATTGAAAATAAATGAGTTGTTCAATAAAGAAAAATTCTCAATGATTAAGATCAGGGATCGTTCTCTGAGCAAATTCGGCCTCGACGAAGATATTCCCATCCCATATCCTTTTTTAGCTGTCCTACCACTCCTCCATCCTACTTATGGTCTTATACCCCTGTAAGTCCCCTGTACCATTTATGTTAACTGTTTGTTTGTATTTAGTCTTCTGTGTAAATTTTTATGTAAATATATTAAGTATAGAATTAAATATAGACTAATATTTTTGTTAAATATCTAGAACTCACTAACCACTTACTATTAATTATAGTTTTCATGTATGTATAATGTATTTATAGTGCTGTCTTTAGTGTTGTTTATCTATACATATAATAAAACAGTAACTTAGCGAAATCTGTACATGAAATATTTCTTAAACACAATGACTGTAACGTATTATGTACACAATTTATAATAGATACCAAAACAATGATTATTATAATTTTTGGCTGTTTGTCCGTATGTCTGTTTGTCTGTTTGTGTATGTGCGTTTCACACAAGAAGTAATGGACCAATTGTAACGGAAATTTGTGAAGTGACAACTTATTACTCACGTCAACAATGAGAATACCTTTTACTTCAGGAAAATCCTTCTTTCCCACGGGAAAACACAATAACTGGTTCTATCGAGTCGTCCTTAGAAACCTTCCCCTGGTTAAATCTTAAGACATACATCAAAACAATGTAATAGAAAATTTTATGTAGTAATCTTGAAATATAAACTTACAGAAAAATCTGTAATAGTATATGTCTTTCTCTTAAAATGTGTTGTTGGTGTGTGTGTGTGTGTGTGTGTGTGTGTGTGTGTGTGTGTGTGTGTGTGTTGTGTGTGTATGTATGTATTTTTGTATGTAAAACGAAATAAATAATATTATCATATTTAATTATTATACTTATTAAAAAAATTAAAATGTTTAGAATTAAAATCAACAAATATTGTAAGTACTTTGGTGTAATATTCGAATTTTTGAAATTATTTTGTAAAATTGTGTGTAGGTACTGTCTGTAACAAGTATATGACGCCTTTGCAACGTCTAAAACGTAGTCTTTCCCGTGACCATGATTGTTGTAAAGCATTCAAAACGACGGGAATCAAAAATTAAAATAAATCCGCGAAATAATCCAAAAACATAATTTTATTTAAAATGTTAAATGCCAAAATCCAATATGTTAAATTAAGAATTTGAAGGAAATATGAGTTAAAGATCAGAATTTAAAGCTTTATATTATATAAGAGCTTTAACTTGCCTCTCATTTATTTTCACAACAAAAATGTATATTTTAAGCTACTTGTAGCCTTTCTTTAATCGAACCGTCTGTCTGTCTGTCTGAACTGTCATCTTCTAGAGAAGATTTTAGACGTCCCAATTGAGCATAATTACTAAATCAATGTCTCGAAAAATAGAAAAGAACTGACGGAGATTGAGATAGATAATAATAATCTATACAGATAAATAAAATTAAAGTGTCTGTTAGTAATGTCAAAATAACAGCTTCTTTTTTTTTTTTTTTATAGTATTCTGAATTAGTGCTTGACTACGTTCCACCTGATGGTAAGTGGTAACGCAGTCGTAGATGGTAAATCGCACTAATTCAGTAGCCACCTATTCACTCTTGCCTTGAAGACACCCATGTTGTAATCGGACGGAAACACCGACGCCGGCAGGTTGTTCCAATCCTTAGCCGCACGTATAATGAATGACGTAGCGAAACGCTTCGTCCGGACGGGTGGAATGTCCACGACATAAGGATGGAGACCAGCCGTTCGTCGGGTTGTCCGATGCTTTTTACTAAATTCGTATGAAAGCTTATTCTAGCCGATTCCGGCCACGGCGGCCAAAAGACACAAGTGCACTCTCTATTCCTATCACTCTCATACTCCGGTGGGACGACCACTGACACGACCGGTGAGAGTTAAGGCGCAGGACCGACAGCTTTACGTGCTCTCCGAGGCACGGGGGTGAAACACCGCCAACTTCCCAACTCCGGGCTGTTACTGAGACTTACTATACAGGAAGACTCAATAACTAAACTTAGCCCGACCCGGGACTCGAACCCAGGACCTCCGGGTGTGCAGCCGTACATGCTAGCCACTACACCACCGAGGCAGTTAAAGGCAGGCTGCTTCGCGGTACTTATAAGAAAACAAATTTTTTTAAATATTTTCACCGTCTGTCTACCTGTCTGTCTATTCGTACTGGCTTATATTCGAAACGGCTGGATCGATATTGACAGGACTCAATGGCAGATAGCTGATGTTATAAGAAGTATATACTTAGGCTACTTTTAAAAAGAATCAGTGTTTTGCGCAAAAAAATTAAAACCCATGGAATTGTGACTGTAATTCACGTACCTAGGAACGCACCCGAGCGAAGCCAGGGTAAGACACTAGTATATAATAAAAATAGCAATGGCGAATGTACCTTAGGAGATAGAAATGCATATGCTATTGCGGACTTGTCTGTACGTCTTTTAAGGACATACAATTTTCTAGTACATTGTTTTGATATATCTCTTAAGGCTTAGCCAGCGTTAGCCATATAAATTTCTAAGGACGACTTGATAGAACCAGTTATTGCGTTTTTCCGTGGGAATTAAAAATTTGCTTGTAGTAAAAGCCATCCTAAATGTTAAGTCGAGTAATATGTTATCACTATACAAAATTTAGTTAAAATCGGTTCAGTACTTTTTGCGTGAAACGCACACATCGATTCGACTTAGTCAGTTTTATTATAGGTATAGATGAGAATAGGTATTGCGAGTTTACCTTAAGAGAGACATATACTAGTGAAGATTTTTCTATAGGCCTTTTCAAGACCTACGATTATATTATTACATTAATTACTACATTGTTTTGATATATGTCTTAAGCATGAACGAATTGTGGTTAATTCGTTCATGGTCTTAAGGTTTAGCCAGTGGAAGGAGTCTAGGGAGGACTCGATAAAACCAGCTATTGTGATTTCCCTTGGGAAAGAAAGATTTCCCTGTAAAAGGTATCCTAAATGTAGACCCGAGTAATAAGTTATCACTTCACCAAATTTTGTTGAAATCGGTTCGTTACTTTTGCGAGAAACGCGCACATACAAACAGACAAAGAGACAAACAAATATACAGACAAACAGACATTTTTTTTAATAGCTATTGTTTTGGGGTCTATATTGTATACATAATACGTTACAGTTATTGACTTTGAAAAATATTTTTTCGCTAAGTTTCGCAAATTTCGCTAAGTTACTGCTTTATTACAGTATATAGGTATAGATAATTTACTATAGATACCTAATCAGATATTTTCGAAGTCGGTGCCAGTGGACAAAGCTTTAAGCTATGAATATCTAATAGGTAAATATGCCAAGGTATGAACTCTAGTTATAGTTAAAATATTATACATCAATTTGTGATGTATTAATCGATTTTTTTTCTAACAGAACTTTTAAGATTTTGGAACAAACGAAGAAGTTTTGGTTTTGATTTTTTCCTTTAGGAGATCATTTTTTATTGTAATTGCAAGAATTACCAAGACATTTTATTATATTTTTTTTCTAAAGTGTCATATTTTTTTATTACTTATTTATTAACTTAATTTTTCTATTCCAGAAGTGACGAACTTTTGTGATAAATTACATTATTTATACCCTTTTTATCTATTGATCTTTACAATAAATGCGGTTTTGTCCAAAAGATTCATAATATATTATCGAAAATAAACATAACGTTGGCTTATAATATTTCTTTTCAATATATTCATTAATTATTTTAAATGAGCGACAAGAAAAGCTTTTTAAACTATATAACAGCAAACTCTAAGCAAGTTACAAGCAAAACACATTCCAGATTTTACTACGCAGAGCGCAACACAATTTTTTTCAGCCATATCAAATTTCCAAGTTCATCACCCTGTAGATGAAGTTTTATTTAAGTTTTTCCATATTTATCTTATAACGAAAGAATTCCAGGTAATATAATTCTTTGAGGGGTCGATTACATTTGTTTTACAGATATTTGACTTCTGTCCCATAATAAACAAAGTGGAAAAATGGGTAATACTAGTAATAGTAGTGTACTGTATACAAGATTAAAAAAAATATTATTTGTCCCATTAGTGCCCTCTTATCAATAAATTTTGCTTATCCTAATAAAAACAACAAGCCCAATCTTTCGAAAAATAGAACATCTGGGCATAACATGTTTTTAGGTGCGATAATAAAATAACTATAACCGACCGAGTTCAAAGTTTAGTGTGTTTAACAATCCAAATTTTTATAATAAATTTTGGTGCAACAGTTTTTATGTGCAGACGTACAGGTTAGATGAAGTTTTTTTTAATATTCGACCGTATTTGAGACACTTTTGTTTTATCGATACATACATAATAAAATTCTAACTAAGCCGAATCTGTACATTAAATATTTTTTGGAAAATCTTATTGAATTAAACATTATTATTTATACAGAGGCCGAATCTATAGTTTTTAGATTTTTTGTCTGTCTGTCTGTCTGTTACCGCATCACAGAAAAACCACTGGAGGGAATTTAATGAAATTTGGTATGGTGATAGCTGATTATCCGGGTCAACATATAGGATACTTTTTACCGCGGGAAAATATCTCATATCTGAGAAAAAATACAAAAACTGCAATGTAAGAGTATACTAATGTGTAAAACCTAAGAATTTGGTTTTTGGTCATCTGAACGCGGGCGGGCAATGCTAGTTAG